ATTAACTCTAATACATAAAAAACTAAACATTTATAAATTATTAACATTCAGATAATAAATTATCGCGATGTTCGCGGAAATGGTCAATTTTATTTTCACGTTTGTCACAAAAACGCCGGAATTTTCTAAATGACAGAAAATCACACAGAAAACTGGATGATAACCATTTGAATTTATATAAAGTAGTTTGTATGGGTGATTATAAAATATTAAATTTTGATTAAGTTACACGCTTTTTATCCAGGCATTAGAGAAAATCTAATATAGTATCTGTCGCGAAAATCACGAGTATAATATTAAATATAATGTCAAAGATTTATATATATCAAATGTATTATTACAATTTGCACCAAGTAAATGATGATAATAAATCACTTACCTGATATATCAACTGTAGTTGAATGTCTCCACTCCAAGAGAAAGGTGTGTTACCAGTTCGAAGTCCAGAAGAGAATAGAGAGAGTTATGTACACAAAAAGTCATGAAAAGCATGCTAAACTACATGTACATGTACAAATAGTGACTAGTGAAAAGTACCACTGTAACAGTATGTCTATCATTTAAGTACGTATATACATGTATGTAAATTAGAACGGTGATCAATAAGGTGCACTGTGGTTGAATTAAGATGAACGGTGCCTAATTGACTTGATGGTTCTCAACAGGAGACGGTGCCTATACATTGGTGCTTAACACGTGTTTCGGTGACATTTTCAACACATGGCATTTTCCCGCTCTTTATAAAGCGGTATATAAACGGGGATAGATTCATTGAAAGATTAGAGTTATTTTGGATTAGAAATAGTTTGGAGATACAGAATATTTTAAACAAAACAATGACAAATAAGGGGATACTGAGAGCTTTATTAACTAAAACTATCTATAGCTCCAACTACGAAAAGTGATTATACATTGATAAGACGTAATATTAAGTGATATAAAGTGTAATTTGAAGCGCAAAAGAAATATGTCGAATATTTCAAACATAAAGGGTGTGAGAACCAGATTCAGAAACGCTCTTGAATCTGAAATAAAGAAAGAAACAGATTTACTAGAGAGTTATTACGAAGAGTATGAATTAGAAGAGAGAATCGCACATGTCTCTTAATGCGAGGAAAAGTTAAGGGCATACAGGGAAAAGGTTGAAGCTCAAGGCGAGAAGTTTTCACCATTAATTAAAGATGATCCTGACTTGATACAAAATATTCCAGAAGAAGTATGTGATTTATGTACACATGCAATGGATGTTTTAGATCTTCAACATTACAGAGAAAAATTACTCTGCAAAAGAGAAGATGGAAATTAAACCAATTGCTGCAGAAGAATCAGACACCAATACATTAATACAAATACAGAAAGATATGCAAAATATTTTATCTGGTCAATTAAAACAGCAAGAACTTAGTTATAGAAAAGAACCTTGTCAGTGAAACTACCAAAAATAAATATGGGCATCTTTCAATGGAGTTAAGACAAAAGTGGTTAGAATTTTGGGATTCTTAGAATAGTGCAGTACATAGTAACAAAATGTTAACTAAGATTAATAAATTCAACTATCTACGAAGTAAATTGAAATTGGAAAAGCCAAAGATGCGATTGCAGGATTAACCTTAAAACAAACGAAAATTATCTTGTGGCAATGGAAAGTTTAGAAAAAAAAATTAGGATAAAGCAAGAAATTTATTAACGTCCATTATAATCAGTTGTTAAATATTCCGTAAGCTGATAATAACATAAGAAACTTGCGATATTTTTCGGACCAAATAGTAAAAACATATCAGAAGTTTAGAAGTTTGTTAGATCATATTTGTTTTGCATCTAAGTTCGGATGGATACTGAGTGGAAGAACAAAAGATAGATATAATGAAAGTTATCCTGAAACTAGCATGCCCATACTTACACAAGGCAGTTGTTTAAACAAGACAAACGTTTTGACAACTATTGACTCTTCAATGCCATCCAAAAACGGATTAGAAGATTTCTGGAACATAGAGTCTATAGGAATTGTAGATAAACATTCAACATCAGATGAGATGTTATCGCGTATGGAACATTTTACAGAGACAATAAGATATAATGAAAACAGGAATTCAGTGACATGGCCTTAGAAAAGTGATTGTCCCGATCTTCCAACATATAGAGAATTGGCATAAGGTAGGTTATGTTTCAATCGTTAACCGCATGAAAAGCAAACCGGTAACATTTGCAAAAATATGACAATGATATACAGGAGGGGCAGATCAATAAGGGAATGAAGTAAGCGCAAGTGAAAACGATTGTGTTGTACACTATCTTCCACATCATTGCGCTTATTACACCTTTAAAAGACGACAACAAAATTACAGGTAGTGTATGACGCATCAGTCTAAATGATTGTCTGTATCGAGGTCCTGTGGGTGATACAAAATTTATGTGGAATACTCATACGATTCCGATTACATAAAATTGCAATCGTTGCCGATATTGAAAAGGCATTTTTACAAATAGGTAATAAAAAGTTTTAGGTAATGAAGAATGGGATGTACGAAAAGATACGCTTATTTTTAGATGTACTTTCAACGACATAGGAAATCAGTGTACTTCAAAAAAACGTGTTTATCTATATTCGATCTCTTAGGTCTTTATAAGCCCCCTTATCATACTCGGTGTGAAGTGTTTTTTTCAAGAATTATGGAGGTGAAATTCGTTGACTGGGACGATTACCTTAGTGAGGCAGATAATGAAAAATGAAAGAGCTTGAAAGTCAACTAGAAATTATCAAAGAGTGTAATTGTCCCAAGATGTATTTCAAATTAAAGTTCAAAGGATGTAGAATATCTTCTTCTTTGCGTCTGTGATGCATCACAAAAGTCTTACGCTTCTACTATATATCTATATCAAAAGTCAGGAAACGAAATCAAAAGTCATCTAGTGTTCACAAAAACACGATTGACTCCAGTAAAACGATTATCTATTCCACGATTCAATTATTAGTTGTTGTGATGAGTGTACTGTGTTTAAAATTCGTTAAAGATCAAATCAGTATTCCAGTCATCAAATTACATTGGCTCCAATCAAAAAGAAACTCTCTGTCTTTGTAAAAGATCGACTAAAAGAAATACAAGAATCAAATAATATAACTCTGTCGTACGTTTCAACTACTGAAAACCAGCAGATATTTATATATATATAAATAAAACTGACTGTACACATTAACTAATACATAGAATAGAAATAAATTTAAAAGTAGTGTGGACTCTTGACCTAGTCCTAACAAATAGTCTACTGAATAGACTAGGGATTTTCTGATATCAAGTTTCTGCAAGATACTCTGAGTAATCAATAAACGATATTTGTTTGTTTTATTTCATCGAGTGAGCTTTAAAAAACGGTATTCTCTGAATACTGTTTTCAAAGTTCACGAGATGAAAAAAAAGGTTATTTATCAATTTCAGCTTTGCTTTTCTCTAAACAGCCCCGACAATGCCAGAATTGTCAACAATGATAAAATTGAGGTACCGCATGGGAAAAATCTTAAAAAAGTAGTCTCATCATTGAAAAGTGTTAAACTATATTTTGATAATTTTCACTGTGAAATTATCAAATATGATTTTTACGGATAAATCAGTATTCCACTGAAAAGTATAAAATAAAAATGACTAAGTTCTCACGAATGATTTTGCAGTGTTTATTCAGTTGTTTATTATAACAAAGCGTTGGAATAAGTCAATATCTGGACCAGGCCACTATAAAATTCCCATTTAAATTATTATTACCAGAAGTTTGTTTAGTGCGAGGAAATAATGATCATTTTGCTGTTAGTATGAGATAACAGAAAAAATGAAAAGGGGTAGTTAAGCGCACAAAGGAAATATTGTGCATTGCGCTAACTGTCGTACCACCTCTTCTCAAACTGTGTTCCAATATCATCCGTATTAAGACCGAGAGAATATAGGGCAGACGACTAGCATTTCTGAATACGTAATTGTTACGTTATATACGAAAGTAAAGTTGACGAAAAAAGTAAAAATCATAGTTAACTGAAATATTGCCCTTTTTGAAAAAATATTTTGCAAAATGTTATAGTGACAAGTAAAATTGGCAGTTTTCAAATTTTGTCTTACTTCCCCTTTGCTAGACTTGTCTATTTTCCTTGATCGTACTTTCTCTTCAAGATAATTTGCATGGAAAATAATATCACGACCCTTTAAATTATATAGTTCGGAACCCTAAAAAACCCAAAACCTAATGTTTATGTTCCTCAAACACAGGATATATAACTAGTGCTGGTAGCAAAAATCCGAACTATTATGGCTACGTCATGTACAAAGATCAAATTTTTAGGAAGTTTTTGGCGCCATTTATACCGGAAAGAAAAAAAATATTCAACATCAATTAGGAATTTATATAGACAACAATAACATTCTGCACTGTAAAGGACGCCTCGAAAATACAAGCATTACTGAAAACGAAAGATGTCCTATATTATTACCAAAATATGATTGGTACACACGTCTTGTAATAAACGAAGTACATAAAGAACTTCTTCATAGTGGTGTTTCCCAAACATTTTCTACCATTTTTCAAACTCGTTATTTGATTCCACAAGGAAAAGCAGCAGTTAAATCTGTACTGAAGGATTGTATTATATGTCGTCGCTTTGAAGGGGGTCATTTTAAATGCCTCTTATGTGCTCTTATCCAAAATCAGGAGTTACTGAAGAAGTACCTTGTTCTAGAGTAGGACTAGATTATATGGGTCCTCTTTATATAAAAACATCCAATAAGGTTTGGATTTGCTTATTTACACGCGCTATTCACCCAGAACTTGTGCATAATATGAGCACTATAGAATTTCTACTATACTTTAGAAGTTTCATTGCTCTTTCTTATTATAAATGATAATGATTTACAATTCAAAGTAGCAAATAACGTTTTCGAAACTGTTTGGAATAAACTTATGACGTCATGACTCACGTTTCTAATGCTTGAATTACGTGGGTATTCAATGTTTCTCCTTGGATGGGAGGGTTCTACGAAAGGCTTATCGCATTAGTGAAAAGATCTATAAAGAAAACTATTGGTAGACAGCTACTTACATTAGTTCAATTGCAAACACTTGTAAAGGAAATAGAAGCAGTTTTAAACTCAAGGCCTCTTGTGTACGTAGGAGATGATATCAACTCAACCATACCTATAACACCTGCCCATTTTCTCACAAATAATCCAAAAACTGGAATACCAGAGATGGAAATTGAAGAAGATAGTAATTATGAACCAGTTGAAAGCACAGCAGTTAAACTGATAACACTATGGAAGAAAGGACAAAATCGATTAGAAAAGTTTTCGAAAGTATGAAAAAATGAATATTTACTAAATGTACGAGAGCGCAAGCAATCAAAGATGAAATCAAAAAGAACATTAGCTGAACATGAGCCGAATATCGGCAATATTTGTGATTTTAAAAAGATGACACATCAAGGGGCAATTGGTAATTTCGAGTAAAAAAAACCCCAATTAGTTAGAAACATAGATAGTGAGAGTGCTAACTTCAATCGGAAGACCAATTAATTTGTTATATCCTTTGGAAGTATCTGAACAATCTTAAAATGAACTTGGAAAAAAAAAAGAAATACACAATGATGAAAGGAAGATAAATCCTAGACCACAACGGCAATCTAAAGAGAAAGCTATGAGGAATATCAAAATTTTGGCTGAAAATAATGGAGTTCCTAAATTTATCTTCATATTTAAAAAAATCAACAAAAAAGAAAAAACACATTCAGTTAATATATAAGAGATATGTCAACAGTTTACACAAAGATCTAAAAGCTTAAAACATTATATTTGTTTTAATAGCTTAAGTCCAATACACTTACAATATAATAGTATAATAATAAAAACACGACAAGCTATTGCAACGGAGTCATTCCGATGGAAATCAGTACTTACAAGTCAACACAGTTAAAGCGTTGAATGTTCATTTTCAGTCCGTGCAAAGGTGACTATATAAACTAAATAGGGACAAGTCCGTGCAACGGTGAATATTTTTATTTAGTAATTTTACGTTAAGTTCGTGCATATAATTTCCAGTGCAAATCATAGTTATATCATATATGAGTTGAATAAGCAGTCAATAACTAGGTATATTTTAGTAAAGAAATGTATGTTTGCGGACTTTGTCGTAGGTCTTATGCTAGAACTCGTTGAAAGGGCATGAAAAGGAGAATCATGATCAAATAGCAGGTGTTTAAATGTTTAAGTCAATGGATAAAGTTATTTAAAATGATAAAGAAGTTACATTGTCAGTCATTTGCGTAAGTGAAAGTACAAGAACTGGCATATAACATTGATTCAAAATGCAAACAGCCAAATGATAAAAAAGGACCATCGGAATGACAGGATACAGAAAATAGTCAAAATAAACAGCAGAATCGTCCAATATGCGAGGATATCTTTGACACTGAAAATGGACCTATATACAGTTCTGACATTGTTGATTTTGATATTGGTTAAACAAAGAAATAACCTGGTGGATGATTTGATTGATAATAATCACACTGTTACCATGACATGTAATGATAACAGTAGGGGAGATATGAGAGAGTTTGAGAATTGGAAGACGTCGGCGTAGAGGCGTTGACCTAATCAATAAGTGTATTGCGTCATGTGTATTGCATCAGCGCCGCGTATTATTACACCCCTTGGGCAGAAAACGCGCGAAAAGTAGATGCTTATCACACATGATTAATTAGTGTCATTTAATGAATAATATTTATATTTAGAAAATGTGTATTGGTCATAGAAAAAAGATACTTATCAGTGTCAATAAATCGGAAAGATATTTATTTTTGCGCTTATCGATCATTAGTATCATTTAACTGTCAGGCACATTTAGATACCGATAAAATTTAAAACTTCAATTTAGAAAATTGACTGAAACAAAAATGAGTACTGTAGAAAACGAATTCGTAGTACACGCAGGATTGTCTGATAAATTGAGTATCGATGGAATATCAGATAAAAGCTCAAAAGAAACCTGTGACAATTCCCGGAAAGAGCTTGACAACGGACAGCGTGTCTTCCGAATGTCTTTACTGCGGAAAACGTATTCCCAAAAACAGAGTTACATTCGTAGCCCAAATCTTTGCAGTGTACGGTATAATTCTAATAGCTGCGCTGAATCTGTTTCTCGGTCAAGGATCAAACCAGGAACTTTGGATAGTACTGATGAGTTCCACCGTAGGCTATCTGTTACTAAAACCAGGACTTAAAATTTACCGATAACAAACTGTTTGTAAAGAAAAAAAATGTTCGAGAAAACTAGACAGCCGGCCGCAAAGGTTCTGTATTTACAGCGAACTTACACGGCACCCGGCACATCCCGCCAGTTTCAGTGGACCGGAAAGACTTTGAAGGGAAAATAGAGAGAGAGGGAAAGTACGATGTAAGCAGGTCCGAAATTAAGTCATTTTTCATTTTACGACATTGATCTATGCGACATGTCAAAGCTTAGCCCGTCACCGCGGTAACAAGGGACCAAGAACGCTGCTGCACTGTCATTGACGTGTTTACCGACTAGGCATTTGTGAACTTTTAAGTTTAACAAAAGCGGGAAAACAGTGGCAAAAAGCCTTGGACGAAATTCTTACAAGACCGACAACTTGAGCCAAGAATCGGGTAGGTCTGAATAGGGGCACTGAATTCGGTATTCAAGTCAAGTTAATGATGTGCTCGCGGAAAGGGGTGTTAGGATTTCTATTCATGAGCAATCTAAAATGTCAGCCATTGAACGGTTCAATAAAACGAATTCAAGAACGCGAATATTTTAGATGGTGGTTACGAACACAGGTCATATTCAAATATGTTCCGGTCTGGATCAACTAGGTTCCGGTTAATGCATGACGAGTGCACTCGGCGCTTTTCGGTTTCAGTGCCCAGCCAGGTGAGCGAATCAAACAGGTGAAGCTCTGGATTGATGTACAAAATGCATAGTAAGGAAAAACGGTACTCACGCCCTAGATCGTCAAGCAAGTGTGGGAGACGAGCTGGTAAGGATAAGTTTAGCCAAGAGAACAATTTGAAAACGTGCGTACAGTCAGAAATTCAACCCGGTGAACTTTTTTTTAATCGGGGGCAGGAATAATGAGAGAAAAATTTGCCCGTTTATTTCCTGATAATCCTGACATTGAACAGGAACCAATCCAAGAGGCATTTTTATGAAACTGTAAATTCAGCGTGTGCAAAAAGACTTTAGCGATCTAGTGACTGGAAAATCGACAAAATTCTCAAAAAAGAAAGGCGAGGGCGCAACCAGGAAGTACTCGTAAAGATTAGAGGTTCGACCGGAAATTCGATAGATGGATTCCCGAGAAATTCAGTTCTTAAATTCAACTGAAATGCGTTAATATGTATCGATTTGTGCAAACAAAAATCACAAAAGTTGAATTCATACTGTATGTGTAAAATAAAATTTAATAAAAACATAAATCTAGGCCAGCGAGTTGTAGTAATATTCGTAAATTGATGAAACAAAATCGTCAACTAAAAATGGACCAATTTTCACGTAGATTAGCAGTTTTAGCTCGTTAAACTTATTCCAGATAACAAAGAGCTGCGATTTCTGGGTAGGTCTGGAACGAAAAGCTTCTTATTAAGGAATGGGCTTTTGCGCCTTAGTAAGTTTTGAACCGGTACGAGTGTGGGGCGTGATGTGGGCCGCAAATTCTGAAAGGACTAAAGACCCTGTAATTCTCTTTGCTTAAATGTCGTGGACTTTTCGGGCTGCTGTGGGGGAAAAAAATGTTCAACTTCTACGGAAAGTAATTTAGGGCCGGACCTTCTAACTGGAATGAAAATGAGGGGGCTGTTGTTTCGGTGGACACAGTAGAAAATTATTCATTTTATAAGGGAGTCCAACATCGTGAGATAAAAACTGTGGGCGCATATTTTGTACTTAAAGAATCTGGGGACAACTTTGAGGACTTGTCTGGGTGTGTTTTAAGCGTTACGTTACATTTCAGAAGTATTGCTCCTTCTACAGTGTATTACATTGGGACGATGGGCGGGAATTAATACAATCAAATCAGCCTCCTTTTAAAACGCCTGAAGAACCGGCGCTTTCCAGCCCGCTAGTTTTAGCAGTCGTTTTAAAACGCAGACGAGCCCAAAGATTTTGAGCAATCACATTCGGAGCAAGGGAGCTAGGCTTTTGTACATCCGCGGACTTTAAAGTTTGGGAAACAGATCTACCAAAAAGGTTCCCGAAAACCTGTTTCGTCGCGATAAGCCTACAGCACTTGTAAAAGGACGCGGGGGAAGTAAGTTACAATTCGTGTCACCAGTCGAGGGAATACGGTTGATCAGGCGCAAGCGAACTTACAGGTGGCGGCGACATTTTCCACTAAGCAAAGTCGGAAATTAGACATCTGGAACTTGGTAAAATCAAAGACAGAAAAAGCGACAGAAGAAGCAGCAGATTCTGGTTGTTGTGCGGCAAAAATCTCAGAGAAAGAGGAAAATTCAGCTAACAAAGCATTTAAACGACATATTCAGTAAATCGCGAAATAAGCAAATATGTCTGTTCTCTTCTCCGATGAGCAACAATACCGAGAGCGCTCCCAGTAGCCTGGAACATTTTTCAAGTGTATCCTTAACCAGGTTTGCATTCAAAGGATTCGAACTCGAGAGATATTAGACCCGTTCTCAGTACAGCGGTTGAAGACGCCCTCTGGAGTTCGAAACCTCGTCAAGGGTGATACTTACTGCGAAAACGAAATTCGACAAAACTTTTCTGAAAGGTTTAGAATAGTGAAGGCGACGGAGGTTCCTGCCCGATGACGCCAAAGTTGTCGCCTTGTGATTTATTTTTTCATGCCATTTAAAAAAAATTGACGTATGAAATAAACAGAAAAATCTTCATTCGACGGGTGACCTGTACGCTTACAAAGCTTATTTCATCAAGCCTGTTTCGAGTAGTGCTGCAAGTTCCGCTGACACAACGGCAGAATCCGAAATGTTCCTTAAACAAGATGGTGGATTTCGGGAAGCGACGGCCCTGGCTGCTGGTAACTACAGTTTTTTATTATTTTCAGCCTTATCTTAATTTTCAAAGATAGCTTAGAAGCTTCAAGTTGGCATGACAAGATATGTATTCACCAAGGAGCGATTTGCTGAAGGAGGAAATGCCATTTAACGTGTTTGAACTCGTCCCGGTTATATAAATGAGGATTTTTCACTTCGAGCTATTGAAACACCGTTTATCAACTGCACGTGAAATTTGGGAGTTTCTCTAGCACAAAATGTCACTTGCCATACTTTATGCCAGAATTTGATTCCCTCTTACTCATAGACTGAAGCCGATGTCTTCGTAAAAGTGTGTAAATATTACTATTGATTACCCGCGTACTGCTTGCTAACAATGAATTTTTGTTTATATACAATCAAATCTGCTCTTTAACTTTGGAAAATTTTACTCTTTTGGATTTAAAACAAACTGACTTATTAATACCATGACAGTGTATATACAGTGGTATAAGGCCCGAAAAACTTCCGTAGGTTATATATACAAAAGTAACAAACAACCCTTAAAAAAAGAACAATACGTTATTTATCTTCTAATATCTTTATCAATAAACTTGCAAATAACATTGATGATAATTATGAGAGTTTCGTCAATCCTGATGTTTCGTTTACACTGAAAAGACTGACCGATTTCCATTGAAGACACGGAAGCCCCGTCGACGTCTTGGGACCTGAATCGGGAGCATTCTGACAGAGTGCTGGGCGTCGAAGACGACACTTCAGCAAGCTGAATAGGTCGCTCTGTCCATTCATTCTTCTTCCTCCGCAACCTCACAACGAGCAACAATAAACCACAGCCCTATCACCAACAACGAATTGTAATTCCGAAGTCCCCAGCCAGGTTAACGTGACCACGGATAACTGAAAAAAAAGGTTCATAAATATTAAATTACGAAAAAAAGATACTCTTTCTAACCGGCGGGTGCTACTGCGCAATATATATCAAAGCTGTGTTTTACAATTTTCCTTCTGCTTATTCACAGTAAATATTAACAGGTCCCGTGAAGCAAACAGTGCCTGAATTGAAATGAATAAAGTGTCCTTATTAATTTTAATTTAATTTGAAAACCTAGCTAAACTCCGTTTTCCGGTACTTTTCTGTACTTAGCTCTGGGAATTCCAACTAGTGGAGTGTAATAGCGAACTCGATGTTTTCGGCCTTTTTTTTAAATTAAATTGATAAAACAGTTTTTTCTTATAAGAAAATAAAATTCATATCATTGTAAGAGTAATTCCTTACAAAAAATAAAGTAAATGCACAAGTTTATCGCAGAAATAAGCCTTATTTTATTATGGAAGATTGCAATAAGTCTGTTTTAATTTTTCTTGATTTTCTTTTATAAAGCAACTTTTTTTTTTAAAAAAACTTGCAAAAAAGTGATATTAGAGGAATATTGATCAATTTTCAAATACATCAATATTTTTCCACCTTAAACGGTAAAATAATGATAGAAAAGTAAGAAAATATCATGTAAACTGTTTTAAGTTACTTCATTTTGTTTAAATTTCCCTCAAAGCTAAATCCGTAGCGTACCGGAAAAACGGTGTTTAGCTAGGTTTTCGAAAAATATTTTTTTTCAAATCAATGATGATTTAGAATAAGTGTTAAAAACGGCGTGTTGCATAATTCTGGTGTTTTATTTAACGATTTTGATAAATGATTGCGATCTTAAATAATAAGAAATTAAAGACACGTTATGCCTCAGAAATATGTATTTATTAAATTCTTTAAACGTGTCAAACGATTTAAATAATAAATTTAGAACATATGAGATATGTAACACCTAGAGTAAAGTAGCACTGACTAAGCGGTTATGTATCGTAAAGATAGCAAAATGTAAACAAAGTAGTATTTTGACATCCCTACTAAATACTTATTTCAGCCTAAAATTATAATAACTACCAGCAGAGGCAAAAAAGAAAGCAACGACTTCATATGTATGACAATGGGTATTTGTTTTTGAAACTTGTAACAAGATAAAAAATAATAATTATAATAACAAAAAATAACAGCACTTTTTAAGTGCATAATGTGCCTTTAAATTGAATTTGTTAAAATTTACCTGGCACTCAGCAGTTTTCCTCTGTGGAGGTTGACGCCGTACTCGATGTGCAGTTTTCTGTGGTGGTGATGGTGGTGCTATTCGTGCTATTCGTTGTCTCCGTGGTTGTTTGATGTTGTCTGATCATCGTCGTTGTCATCA